GTTTGATTGAAAAGGGGGAATATTAGAATAAGTCGCGTTTTCTTATTTAAGTGTTCTGCCAAGTTTGGAGGTGGGACTCGAACCCAGAATTCCCTAGGCTGCGTAGTTCTCTAGTTATACGAGTACAGACAAACTCAACAACTTTATATATAGCTTATTAATTTATTTTTATTTATTTATTTATTTAATATTATATTATAATATCATATCATATTTAAATATCACATTATCAAAATTATTATCAAATCGGTCATGTCCCATTCTGAACGTCACATCTCACACTATACCTTTCAATGACATAGGTGGCGTTGCTGTCGCCTGACTTCCCTCCGTCGTCTGCGACTCGTTGCCGGACACAATCCGCCGAAACTCATCGAATGCCGACTCGTGCGTGTGCAGCACGTTGCCGTAGCCGCTCGTCACCAAGTTAACGACGTGCGACGGCAGACGACTCATGCGCACCGGGTTCTTATTGCAGATGGTGACGGCGGGAAACGGCAGCCGACTGTATTCCATCTCGACTTTGACGGTCACCGTGTAGGAGAAGTAGCGCCGCACCACGAGCGAGTGCTGGTACGCGAGGAAGGCGAGCGCGCAGAGCGTGATGGCGGCCCAGGCGGCGCGCGCCGGCAGCGAGCGCGAACCGCACGCGCGCTTCACGCCGTGTGCCGTCGTGCTGCTCGTGAACGCCGTCACGATCTCACCGACCGTCATCGTCATCGTCGTCGTCGTCGTCGCCGCCCCGATGCGAGCATGACGTCACGGGCTCGGCATGTGCGGGAAGGGGTTCGTTCTCGCGACTTCCGGCGGTAGAAGACGGCTCGCTACCGTCGAAATTATTCCAGCCGCGAAATGACGTGTCTTCCGGCCGCAAGATCACGTGTCTTCCGGCCGCGAAATGACGTGTCTTCCGGCCGCGAAATGACGTGTCTTCCGGCCCCAAGATCACGTGTCTTCGGGTGCAATATGTCGTGATGCGATAGCTGATCACACGCGAGGGTTCTCACGACCCGACACAGGCGGGTGTTACACGCTTACACACGAGGCGTCAATCCACGAGGCGTCTGCTGCGCTGCACGACAGCACGATGACGGCGCATGCGCAGACGCTGGCTGTGCGACGTCGTCACAGCACGCGCATGCGCACACCCGCACCCATTGTTAATCAGAAAAAGCTGTTGGGCAATCGACTGCACCGGGGCATTCCTACCGCGGTTCGCGGTTCTTTTGCATGGTGCACGTGTATGGCAGGCGAGCTGGGACACAAATGGTATTTAGTGACATTCACAAATTCGAATTAATGTCTTTCATATATTATATTTAGTGACTGTCATATATTCCATTTAGTGACAGTCATTCATTCAACCAATCATATATAGTGTTTGTCAATAAAAATGATTTAATGATAGACACTAAACAATTTAGTGACAGTCACTAAATACCATTTGTGTCCCACCTCGCCTGCCATACACGTGTACATTTTTCCTACCAACAGGTGCGCGCGCCACCGAACCACAATTTCCCCCACACTAGTTTGCTAAACCAACCTAGTAGTTGGTCAGCGAACGAACCAAGTAGTTTGCAGAAACATGGTTTTCCGCGCGCAGTGTGCAACCTTTGACCTGCGTACGTGGCGCGATAACGTAGCCTCGGGCGCATATGGCGGCCGCCGATTCCGAACCCCCAACGCCCACCGCTCCTATTGAGCACGCTGGCGCATTGTAAAAAACCGTTAACACCCCCCCTCCCCCTTACCGCCACCACCATGCACTATTAAGCTATGGGCCGTAGGAAAGTGTACTAACTCTAATATCTCGCGAAGAAATTGGGTTACATTTCTAAACTTCTAGATACATATAAACACATGTCTTAGCTGTGGTCTCTGTGAATTCAAGCACGAATAGTTTAATTAATTACCAAATATATACGCGCGGTATCGCTCATAGGCTAAAATTTCCGCGCGTTCGTGAGATTATTCCCGAAATTGTCAATTTCAACGTTATGAAACTAACATGTGTCTATATGTATCTCGAATTTTAGAAATGTAACTCGATCAATTCGTTCGCGCCATATGATAGTTAGTACACTTTTCTACCGTCTATAGCCGTGCGTATATTAGCCTATGAGCGATACCGCGCGTATATTTTTGGTAATTAATTAAACTATTCGTGCTTCAATAAACACAACGGTGATTATAGCTACGACATGTGTTTATATGTAGCTAGAATGTTAGAAATGTAATTCAAATCGTTCGCGCCATATGGTAGTTATATAATATAGAACACTTTTCTACCATCCATAGCCGTGCGTATATTAGCCTAGGAGCAATACCGCGCGCATACTTTTGGTACTTAATTAAACTATTCGTGCTTCAATAAACTCAAACTTTACGGGGATTATAGCTAAGACGTGTTTATATGTATCTAGAATTTTAGAAATGTAACTCAAATCGATCGCGTCATATGATAGTTAGTACACCTTTCTACCGTCTGTAGCCGTGCGTATATTAGCCTATGAGCGATACCGCGCGTATATTTTTGGTAATTAATTCAACTATTCGTAATTCAATAAACTCATATAGTTCAAAACTCCCAGAGACCACAGCTAAGACATGTGTTTAGATGTATCTCGAATTTTATAACTGTAACCCAATTTGTTCGCGAGATAATAGAGTTAGTACACTTTCCTACGGCCCATAGCTTAATAGCGCATGGTGGTGGTGGTGGTGGGTGGGGGGGGGGGGTTAACGGCTTTTTACAATGCGCCAGCGTGCTCATAACCTGTACAAACAACTAAGGAATACTACAAATAAATTTATGTACATAAATTCAACGTGTACAAGCAACTAAGGAATACTACAAATAAATTCATGTACGTAAATTCAATCTGTACAAACAACTAAGGAATACTACAAATAAATTCATCTACGTAAATTCAACCTGTACAAACAACTAAGGAATGCTACAAATAAATTCATGTACATAAATTCAACTTGTACAAACAACTAAGGAATACTACAAATAAATTCATCTACGTAAATTCAACCTGTACAAACAATTAAAGAATACTACAAATAAATTAATGAACATAAATTCAACCAGTACTAGAAATAAATTCATGTAATAGTGCGTCATAAATAACAATGTATTAAATGTGACAGAGTGCGTATTAATCGGTGACAGATACTGTTGTATTTAGAAAGAAACGCGTAAGAAATACGTAAATACGTAAAGAAAATAAGAAATATGTAAAGAAATACGTAGAGCGTTGTGCGATACACACGACTCGGGGTTGAAAAGTCGCTCTGAGGTGTGTGAGAATTGATGAACCACTTCTCGTATCAATTATTGAAGGAATTTAATGCCACAATAGGAATATAATTGAAAAGCAACAGTTACCTAGTTAAGCGTACTTAGTAACTAATTTTCTATGATTACGAGACCTTAATGAGGAGATGATTCATCCTGATAAAAATTACGTAAATGACGCATAGTGTCGTGTTTTAAGCGTGTATTTGACATGTTATATAATTTGGCATATCATATCACAGCGCTACACTAATGACAAATTCGCATGCGTGCGTGTGGCCTGGTGGTTTGACGTGTGCACGTGCGTGCGTGCGTGCGTGCATGCGTGCGTGCGTCCACCCGTCCGTGCGTGCGTGCGTGTGCGTGAGTACGTGCGTGCGTGCGTGCGTTCGTGCTTGCATGCGTACGTGTATGTGTACGTTTTTCTTGTTACCGTTGTCTGCCTGTCCGTCTGGATACTACTTTAAACACATTTAAACACACGCACAGTCAAGTAACGCTACTAAGCAGTTCAGATTGCGCCTAAAGCCTATAGATTCCAGTGTACATTCAATCAACGTACGATCAACGCTCGATCCGCTCGTCTAATCTATAGGTGTGATCGAAATCTCGTTACAGTAAGAAAAAGGTCTGCTGTTCCATTAGTTCAATATCTCGTTTAGCAGAGTTTGTACATCGGAGTAGCAGCATCGCTCGCACGCGCGCAAATCCATTTAACATCGTTCGTGAGAGAGAGAGAACCCACCCTTCCCTCACTCCCGCCGCCGGCGAAACTTTGATACTGACGTGCGATATGCTCTTCCTCTCGTTTCAGATTCGTTTCGACATCTTGAGATGGACTCGGATTATCGAGATGTGTGGACTGACGCTGTCCTTCCTCTCTCTCGTCACGTCGCTCTTCATCTTCTTCCTCTTCAGGTGAGGCGCATGCGCAGACGATACGCGAAACCACGTAACGCGCGCCATGTTTGTTTTTCCCATTTTTCATCATTTTTTTTTTACTTTTTCCCTTTTCCCCGCCGCTAGAGCCAGAATAAATTATATTACATATATACTACATTATTATTATTATTATTATTATTACACTGAAACGCTAAATGCGGTGCCGTATACGCTCAAAATAATTAAAATTTACTGCGTAATACATGTGGTTTTCGGTACCAGGCCTTGCATACAGACCGGGTTATTATGCATAAGAGGGTCGATTTTTGAGTCCTTACCAACTCTGCGCAGCTGACAATAGCCTGGCAGAAATCTACATGTGATTGCGTGACGACTGCATTCCGATTTCAATATCTTGTGGTTAGCGTCCGGGAATTCAGGTTGTCCTATGTGTCGTGTGCTGGAGAGTTGGTTTATATTTTGACAGTCCAAGAGTGAGATAAACGCACGCATAACCTTTCGTTGAAAAGTCCGAATAAAAGTTACGAATATATTTCATTGTTGTCGCCCGCCATTTTCCCATAAAAGCCACTATGTGTGGGTTTTCGCCTCTCATTTTTCATTTCCTTGAATCAAAATAGTCTTGGATAGTCTGATGTTCCATGTTTTTGATGCGCTTACTTGGTGCATTTGTCCTTGGTCTTATATAGTAGAAAGTGCCTGCCGTGTTCATAGTTTAAATATTTCTATAAAATTTATAAAAGATTTTTCTAAATAAAAATATTTCTATAATTTATTTTATTTTATTTATTTATTTTTACTTTTTATTGCAGAAAGAACATTTCAGTTCAAATAATAATTCAATATTTTGCATTATTTATTCATTTATTTATTTGAGTACGCAGCTAATGAAAACTAGTCTAGACCGGAGATTAGGTTTGTTGTTGGGGCACAAGCTGGAGGTGAACTCGCGGCTAACGAGTCATTAGTCTAATGAGGGGAAAACTTCACCAGCGGCAGCACAATATCACGCGCTCTTTGTCAAACCTGAATGTTTCGAGTACTTTTAACCGCACGGTCTCACGCACGCACGTCAATATCACATGAGTAAAACACACACACACAACCACACACACACACACACACACACACACACACACACACACACACACACACACACACACACACACACACACACACACACACACAC